CTACTTCTCATGAGACAACATCATACCTTGGGTTGTTGCTTGGGTTTGGTGCTGCCCAGGTGTGCAGCCATGGCATGAGGAGCGTGGTCGCGATGGTGAAGTCCTATGTTGCCAAGTTGCCATAGAACTCGGCAAAGTCGTCATATTTCATTCCACTGACGGCCAGGAATTCCTCAAACGCTTTGGTGGCCTTATCACCAGCATCACTGCAAACGTTGCTGGGCACGTTTAAAATGTACCGCTCATCTGATGAACCAGTGCAATGGCTGATGATGCCACTCACTTGTCATTCGTTGGCTGCATCATAGCTGCAGCTGGACCTCGTGCATCCTGCGCCTATTGTCCGACGGCTGCGTGGGCTGCATCCCGAATCCACCCACAAAATCATCATTGGCTTCCATTGTGATATTACCTCTTAAGCATCTTTAGAGATTTGGCCTATGGGGTTAGAGAGTAGGGTCGGACTGGAGCCAACTATAGCACAGCCAGAGACTCTTGATCCTGAGTAAGGTAATTATTACAAAGACGATAACACTTGTTAGTTAAGCAGCCTCTCGCACAAATGTGTCCGGTCGTACTTCGCGAATAAAGCCTAAGTACACTCGTCCAAAAAAAGCCAGCCCAATGGGAGCACGTAGCCCCATACACGGACCCATAGGCGCTTACCCCCCGTACAAACGCTATCGGGCCCGTTATGGCTTGAGCCGCTAATGGGCCTGTCCTGTTTACGGGCCGTAAGGGGGGCTGTAATGGGGGGTCCCATTATGGGGGCCCCCGTTACAGGGCATATTCATGGGCTGTAGGCAACCCCACCGCCGGCTGTCCTAGGGTACAAAATACATAGCCCTTACCCGCAAAGGGTTTTAGCCGATGGCTTTCATCACCCTTGGGCTCCCTTCGGTGGAGTCCCCAGCTGGGGGAAACCGAAGGGAGTCCCCATTGGGACATCCACTTTAGCGCTGTGTCAACAGAAACCGAGCATATATGTCATACTTGGTACAGCCATAATACATGTGGAAATCTTGTTGCACTAAGGTTGCAGCCGCATGTTAGCATATTGCATTCCAGCAACTCAGGTTCAATTCCCGCGGAGGGCAACAATATCCTTATTATTTGGTAAGCCCTTGGCCGCTAAGTACTTTGAATTTCTTTTGGATCTTGTTTTAGTCAGGATGGAGGCCATGAGGCCCTGGGGCACATTCATGCGAAATGTGTAGATCCTGGTTAAAAAACAGGATCCAGCGGGAATTCAAATCGACTGCTGTGTCACTTTGAATTTCTTTTGGATCTTGTTTTAGTCAGGATGGAGGCCATGAGGCCCTGGGGCACATTCATGCGAAATGTGTACATCCTGGTTAAAAAACAGGATCCAGCGGGAATTCAAATCGACAGCTGTGTCACTTTGAATTTCTTTTGGATCCTGTTTTAGTCAGGATGGAGGCCATGAGGCCCTGGGGCACATTCATGCGAAATGTGTACATCCTGGTTAAAAAACAGGATCCAGCGGGAATTCAAATCGACAGCTGTGTCACTTTGAATTTCTTTTGGATCCTGTTTTAGTCAGGATGGAGGCCATGAGGCCCTGGGGCACATTCATGCGAAATGTGTACATCCTGGTTAAAAAACAGGATCCAGCGGGAATTCAAATCGACAGCTGTGTCACTTTGAATTTCTTTTGGATCCTGTTTTAGTCAGGATGGAGGCCATAAGGCCCTGGGGCACATTCATGCGAAATTCTTTCCTTCTGTCTAAAAACAGGATCCAACGGGAATTCAAACCGATCGCTGCGTCACAATATGTTACTTTAGCTGCACGGAGAGACAAACTCTTGGCTAACATCACATCTCCCGGACATCTTTGTCGAATCCAAAGCCAACGCCTATTAGGACGGTAACTAAAATTCTGAATGTGGTGGTGGATTCCTATTTCAGATTGCAACCCCCACTGCGATTTGGATTAGACATATATCCTAGTTTGCATATTGGGTTAAAGCAGAGACTACGAATTTAGATCGAAACGTTGCAAGCCGCCGACAAATATTTACATAAGGATGCGTTCATCACAATGCTTCGCATGTGAAAAGAAATGTCCTAAAATGAAGCATACTGCTGAAGCATACTGCATACTGGGACTGGACGCTGCTCAGACACACGACAATTTGACCACTCTACGCCTGCCACGCGAAGCATCTGTCATATTTTGTAGGCAGTCATCCATTCTGACATTGGTGATGAAATGCTATCTTGGATTGAGGAAATACTTCCTCGCTGTCTGCACCTAAGGAATTGCTTGTCTTTATTCACTACTAAAGCAAAGATGTTCCATTCGGCAGAAGTTCAATGTGTGCAGAATACATAAAAATGGAAGCTGCAATGGTTGTTAGTCTGTCATTGACTGCAGGTCGTCGTGAATGCATTGCTATGAACATGTTCACAAGCACACGGTAACCAGATGCCAGATGCCTTCCATGCAACAAGTCCTCCTCCGTGTTGGTCATTTCGTGGAAGAAGTGTTGCCAACATTCAGTACATCTTGATTTCAAGGTCCAAAGTGGATGAAAGTGTTGTACCGCCCGCACCTGAGGGTAAAACAAGGCTCCATTCGTCATGAAGTCATGAATACATAAGCAGCAAAAGATGCTGTCGAAGTTATATTCAATATTTCTCCGGACAAGCACACTCACTGTGGTGAGGTATCTTGCACCTCGCTCATGCTCTGTGTGCAATGCTGTTTTAATGCCAATGTTAAAATCTCGGTTGTCGTCTAGGAAGGCCAGTGAATGCGGCGAGCATGCAGGATACAGCGATTTGATGTGATACTAGTCTCAAATGCCTATATGCATCAAGTAATGTAGATCTGAGCAATCCCGCATGCACTGTGCGATGGTCCGCTGGCCTTGAGGTAGCATCGCTCGCAACACTTCTCCTTCCAACATCTCCATTTCGTCCGCAGTGGTCGTCATCATTTGTATTGACACTTGTACACCTCCACGCTCACAATGCCCGACCTGCGAGGCGAAACCTGGCTGTCATACTGCGGCAGTGCCGACATCCACAAGCACGGTGACAGCTTAATGTAACAAGCCATTCCATACCGCTTTACTTGCATTCTTAAAGGAGAAGTGTTAAGAAAAGGCTCCATACCTTGACAAATTGTCCACGAAGGCTGCAGCTTCAACCGGCGGCTGCTGTGTAGCAGCACCATGGTCTCATATGTCCACGTAAGATGTGCGTTGTAATGCAGATGAGTTCCGTTACCATGCAGGTATTAAGCGCCATGTAGAGAATAGGGAAAAATGCGTGGCTGCGTGGATCTCACGCCGGATATCCTCACATGAGGGCCTTGCGATATCCTCACTTGCGGGACTTATGCCGTACCTCAAGGCCTCTGCGTACCGAGGACGCAAATGAATGTTATCACATGTAAGAACGTTCTCGCCCTGCAGTGCAGCTGAGTGTAACGTCCTGCGTGTTTGAACGTGTCCCCGGTATGCCCTCATGTACATGTACCTACATCGACGCAGTGTCCCTGAAATGTTTAAGTACTTGTGACGAACTTCTGAAAGGCAGATGTGCTTTGTATCCGGTCCTGCTTCTCAAGAAGCACAAATCCGCAACATGTTCGCGCTGTGCAGGCCACCGCAGCCCAACGAACTTCATAGTGCATTAGCCTCGAATGACGGCCTGTGTGTGATCTGTAGCGTGGCCGAGGAGTTGCAGGCAATGAATTTCGATCACGGTGCGTGGACGGCACTCCAGGCAACGGAACGTATTCAACTGGACGTCCGCCTACTATTCATGCAGACAAACTTTATGGGAAACCAAATCCACCATAATTTACATAATAAGAGCGCGGAAACATACAAACCACCCAAGTTGCGGGCTCTGGGACATACAGGCTGCTGTGGACGTCGCATAATGCCCGCTGTACTCTAAGGACAAGGCGCATGCTGCGGGCATCACTGCGGAGGACGTGGAAGCGGACCTATATACTGCTCTCAACGCGAAGGTGCATCCCCCTGGAATACACATTAGTCCGGACTGGTGTTTCTCAACACCCCCTTTATGGATGTGAGAATAAACTTAGGGGTTCTTTGCCCCAAGAACCTTGTCAGCCAGTGTAGCTTTAGGTTTTAAGTCTCTTTGGAGCTTGTGGAGCGCCTTGTGGGGGCACAGGGTTTGCGCCTGGTGCGGAATGGTTGAGCGCCTGTGAGGACATAAGG